TTGTCTACGTAAGGTACTAAATGTCCGTTGGTCAGATACCATCATCAACAAATTACAGTGGGAGATAAAAAAGCAGACTCCAGCTGATGAGGAAATTAGGAAACGATTTTGGAGGTGTATAGGATATACATTGTGTGAATCGTCAAACTGCATCACAAAGCAAGCGCTTACTTGGAATGTTGAGGAAAAACGGAAAAGAGGGAGACCAAAGAACACACTTCTCTGAGAATTAGAAGGAGACATGAAAACGATGAATAGAATGAATAAATGAAGAGAACTGGAAAGGATTGTCCAAAGCAGTTTGATGGAGAATGCTCGTGAGTGGCCTATGCTTCTTTGCGAGGTGTAACAAGTGTAGGTAATTAAGTAACCTTAGGATCACTCATTCTCATATAATGAAACATATGACATTTTATGTAGTTCCATATGTTTCAGTACACATTTTGAATTGAGTAAAATTTTGAACGTATGTGTACACTGGTTTTCTAATAACTTAATATCTTACCAAATGCTCTTTTTGAAGTTTCAATCAAAGATAAAGTAATCTAAATTATTATGGGTTTGATACTGTGGTCTAATACTATGGACAAGCAAAACCACATGGTCTCATGATATTGAATTTCCAAGTTGAAAAATTTGAGAGTCATTAACTAACTGAATTTTATTAATTTCAATGGTTAAGATCATGAGTCAGTTGAGGCTAGACCACCATGGAAAACCTGGAAGCACTGGACGGCCGTTTCGTCCTATTGTGGGACTCCTTAGCAGTGCGCATCCACGACCTCGCACCCTGCGAGATTCGAACGACCGTCCAGTGCTTCCAGGTTGTCCATGGTGGTCTAGCTTCAACTGACTCATGATCTTAACCATTGAAATTACTACAATCTCCACAAAAACCCATCTGATATGAATTTTATTACTTAATATTAAACATTAACTAATTGATAAACTACCAGTGATTACTGTATATAAAATGTCATTTATTACTAACTAATAATTTCAGTAACTAACACCATTTTCAAGAGTTATCCTTTATGATTAGAACCATTATTCTCTGTTTATAGTTGTGATCATTATTTTTTTAAATGTGTTCATCAAACCTTTTTATCAATCATTATATGGATAGTTCCCTAAAAACAAATTTACATTAAAAAAGTTACATATAACAGATTTAAACAGAGACAGGTTACCATGGCAACCATTTTCTGTGTTACTTTGTCAATTAGACCCACTTTTGACTCATTTTTTTTCTGTTTCATTATTAGAAAATTCATGAATAAATAATAAAAATTTCATAAATTTTCTTGCTGAAACTATGATCTTTCCTAACTGTACTTTGTTACCGTTCAAATTTTATGTAGCAATCATGATTACTGTAGTAATTATTAATATGGTTACTCATATGTTTTTTTAAAAGTAATTGATCCTTTGAATTTATCTTAACCAAAGTATATTTTGATAATATCGCGCTTTTGATAGTTGAAATATAGAATAACAATATTTCACTTCCATGCTAATTACTACTAATTAGTAGGCCAATGTATATATAAAAGTTATTTAAAACAAAACAAAACAGAATATATTATTTTACTTAGATACTGAATAGGACTCATTCACGTATTCTGGTATGAACATACTTATAAAAATTCTCCCAATAAATGGAGATTCTAAGTGTTGAAAGTAATTAGATAGGAACATTGGACTAAAGTTTCGTGTTGACTGTCATAGGAAAACTAAGGGAACTTTCATGGAACAAAACCTTCTCGTAGAATTAGCATCAAGTATAAATTGTTTCAGTGAACATCAAATATAATGGACTTGCTAGTAGCCTGTAAAAGATTCGAAATTCGCAGATAACAATTACTTGACATTTTACAAAGAATTATCATCAATTATTTATATAGAAACACTATCAATTATATTTAGCTACAGTAACCTCCAACAAAACTTAAGTATCTCCATTTTAAAATGAAAATCTTCAGCTAACTTTAAAAATAATTCTATTAATGCATTCTCGGAAGAAGACAGTCTTAAAACACTGTGTTTTCAGGTATCTTCCTCTCTTGTCTCTAAGAAAATTAGAGACCTTTAACCTTATTGAAATCTACATCTATGTCCCGAATTTCTGACTGTTTACGAAACTTTGCAGCTTCTTTTATTTTTAAAAATTACTTCATTATATAATCATACAAACTTCTGTAGACAGTATATGAAGAAGCAAGTGCATTTGATTAATGTGGCTCAACACTTACCCTATAGGTATGAAGTTTGTTACATAATTCCGATCATAATTTGATTATTAATATTTTAGATATTTAGGAAGTGACAGTAATAGTGAAGCAAGATAAGAGAAATATAATTGTGAAATATTGTTTTTCAACCTATCAAATACTATTAATCTGTATGCATAGTACATAACAGAACTTGTTATTTTGACATGAAAGCTACAATAGAACTCAACTCAGATCTGTTGATTTAACTTCACTATCAGTCTTTAAATATCATTAGTTTGAGAAAGTGATACAAAGCATCTCTTTTTGTTGTTGTTGTTGTTGATAAAATACATATTTGCTGGTTCGTGTAGGGTTTTCTATAGTAGAAAGACCTGGTTCATATAATGTTTTGAATGTAAAGTTTGACAAGAACTTACAATCTGTTTAAAAAATTTCCTGAATCCTATAAAAAAAATATCAAGAATACACAATGAAATCCAATAGCTATTAGTTAGTTATAATTGTAGTTGATTTATTCTTTGTTATGTTCTTTTGAAAGTGAATAATGCATGATAACTATTGAAATAATAAACCTGATAAATGTATGGAATTGTTGTAGATAACTTGTAGTTGTGTTGAAATTGATTGAGAATTTCCCTCAATTTATCGGTCAATATATTCGTTGATATTTGAGTTCACATGAAATTTATTAACGATTACTTTATATAAATTTGTGATGTTATTTGACTTAAACCAGAAATATCTATGTTAATGAATGATTTCTTTTAAATAATATGCTATAAAAAGGTTTATTTTTTTTTCTGTGGAGTATGTTACAGTGACTACACAAAGTGAGTTCCATCAAAACGCCTTACTGAACGTTAAACTAGTTACTTGAAGATCGCTATAGTTAGTTAATAGTTTAATTCTTGAACATCTAGTAAACACTTTTCACGTTCCTCCATCAGGATGTTTCTTTAAACTCATCTATATAATCGAACAAAATTGTTTAAGAGGGACCACAATTAAGTAACATATGCACTGAAGAGGCTTCAGTAATTTATAGATTCGAGCCTAACCACTATGTTCAAAAGCAATATGTCAAACACCTTATCTTATCATGCTTTCAACCAATCTCTAGACCACTAGGCCGGCATCTAACAATGTTAATATCTAACTTCAACCAATATTCATGGAACTGGAAATTAGATTTTCCCTATAAAGTATCTATATCTCTTCTTATAGACTTGTATGTACTAAGTAACTGCAAATAAGATTGTATATCGTCTAAAAAGGGATTTGTCTTTAGAAACTTTCTATTTCGTCGATGATGATACAATGGTTATATCTCTTTATTTAATATTATTTACCGAGAACTTACTAGAACTTAAGACTTTTGTGGACAATAGGATGCAGTATTTTTCAGGGTTCAATAACATTATCGATAAATTCGACTTATCATGAAAAATATACGATTCGCCCTATATACATTGTCTTTATATGCACCTATAGAAAAGCTTTCCTTAATAGACCACTGCTCAGCCATTACTTTCTTTTGCCAACACAATGGGTATTATCCTAGCCAGATTGAGATTCTAGTAATTCATTATCTAAAATAAAAGATTCGTAATATACGAAATGCTTTATTACTAAACAAAATTTACACTCAACTGAGAGGAACTTTAAACGCTGATACATGGCAATTCACATAATTGATGAGTTTTTTGAATTACAAACAGCATGATATTTGTATATGTAACAAATTATGCTGTAAAGTGAACGGTAAATGATTTCGAAACCTATAATTGATGGAAAAAATGTTTAGATTTTACAGTATGTTTTGCGGTAATAAATCGCTTTAATCTTTGATGTAAATCACTCGTAATGATCACACTACTCAATAACTCAAGTGTATAATGGTCACCTATTTTAGGATGATTCGTCGCAACAATCAGTATATGAGCTTGCTAACGACAATTAATTGAATTATGTCATTTAACACAACAATTATATGGCTCAACGTCATCATAATACGTTGTCAAAGCTTACAGTTATTTTAAATTTTATGGACATTGGATGATATATTCTGGGTTTTTTTTTGACAGCTTCGTTCATAATAATTGTAGCATATCGATTTACTCCGTAAACTGAAACACGTTTCATGTCATGTATAATACACCCTTGTGGGCCTGGGTAACTTCACATTCGTTTTCAGGAGAACCAGACACCATCATAACTTTCATGTGACAACCCAAACAGTACAGCTCAATCCCGTTTAACAGGAGAGCCAGACACCACACAGGCTTAAAATTTGTAGCCCAATAAACACGGCTTAATCCCGTTTCTAGGAGAACCATACACGATCCAGACTTAAACTTTATAACCCCAGCTGTACAGCCCGACCCTGCTTCACAGGAGAACCAGACACTATATAGACTTAGATGCTACAGTTTGAGTGGTACAGTTCAATCCCATGGCGCAACCACACAGGTACCAAGCACCCTGGTTAGTCGCATATAAATTTACTATATTACTTAATACTACTACTTCTATTAGTAGTAGTAATAATAACTATAATTACAACGAAACCTTATTGATTGTTTTTTTTTATTGAATAAACTTGAATATGTCTACAAATTATCTTCGAAATGCTTCATTGTTACTAAACATTTCTGTATATTCAAATTTACAGAAAGTATAAACACTTAGATCTATTTAAATGGTGAAAAAAATAACTGAATATAGTGAAAAAAGTCAGATTATTACCAAGATGATTATGACAAAATTTCATTTGATTGTCTGAGTACAAGAAGATTTCAACGAATTGATAATCAAACATTGAGCACTATTAGCAAGATCAATAATAGTGACATTTGTTGATGGAATATGTTTTAATGAATAATTATTAGATTTCAAATTGTTCTGTGATTTTGACGAAGTTATCCCCGATTGTCGATAAGATATAGGTGCATATCTCCAATGTATGTTAGCAGAGTAACGTTCATGATAAGTATTTTTCTTACTGGGATTTGATTTTCGAATAGCAAATGAACTCATAAATGCATTTGAATATCGATTCTGATTATGTACTTCATTATTAAGTGTAGAATGATTATTGAAAGATGTTAATTCTAGTTTTCCATGCATAGAGAGACAAGCCTTTGGTATTTGTAGACATATTTTATCCTGAATAAAATAAAGTCTCACATGTAGTTAATTCATTAGTAGTCTAATGAGAGTTACAAAATTTAATTTCAGACAATTATCTTTATAAACCTTGAATGCTAGTCTTTGGAAAAATGGTAATTGTTGAATATAGAATAATAGTTATATCTATGTAAGCTTAAATAACATTTAGATTTAAGCACTTTAGTAACTAATTATATAGCTAGACGTCTCAATAGAAATCACACTTTTATTCTGTGCATGAAAATTTATAATTGAGTTCATAAAGTAAAGGATAATACGTAGATTTTATATATTAAAAAAACTGGCAGAATATTCCATTTATTACATCATACATCTTAATATAGTTCAATATAATAAATGGAATAATGATTAATATATTTTTATTATATCTCAACGTTTCGTGACTTGATTTAAGCCGCTTCTTCAGAGTATTCGCTTTTATATATAGACTAAACTCAATATCTCTTGAGTTGAGTGTTATTTGGGAACAACATAAGGTTATTAGATATTTTGGTCTTTTTCTACTTGAAATATGAGAAAAACTCTTTAGTTGTATTGCAGTGAACAGAACACAGGTGGGGACAATCCAATTATATTTAGCACAAAATTAGTTACTTGGTAAAATAGAAAAACCATACGATAATACTGAATTTGCAAAATGTTCAATAATTGTCTCGAACTTCGTTGTTCTTGCATTTCCATACTGATTGCTTTCTATTCCCGCTCTTCCTTTCTTGATCTTTCTCATCTTCTGCTACCAGACATTACATTCCTGACTCGCGTCATATACTACTCATATCAATATAGGTAGCACGCACCACACTCGTCCCCCCCTTTGAAGCAGTCGTTCTTGTGGTGGTTCATGCTCGCCGTGCCACATTCTTCGTTTCTGTCTGTGCTATGCTCGCCGTCGAAATGTCGAGTCTGTAGCGCGCTGACCTTCATAGCTCCGTCGACCTGCCATAGCAACAACATGCGACATCCACCCGGCACCTAAACGCTTAACACCGGCCTGCTGAGCCATCTACATTCGATGTCCGCCCGGCAGCCGCACGTCCCACCGCTCCTCTCCGTCGACAGCACTCGCTACAGCCAGCACCGTCCTGCCAGAGCACTCCACTCGACTCCACCTCTCCGCACCAGACCGCCCCAACCAGCACCTCCGTCCCAGGCCCGCAACGGCGTTCGCAGAACAGCACCCTTCGACTCCTGGTTGGCAGCGACACCAAATGTAGTGAACAGAACGTGGGTGGAGACAATCGAATGTATTTGGCGCAAAATTACATGACTTGTTAATAAAATTTAACAATCATAAAGTAAATGCTTAATTTGCAAAATGTCCCTCAGTTGTCTCAAAATGACTCGGACTTCATTTTTCTTGCATTTTCATACAAATTGCATTCTGTTCCCATTCTTTACTGTTCGATCCTGTTGTCTCTCTGATGCCAGACTTTCTGTTCACGACTAACATCACGTACTACTTGTGTCAATATAAGTAGCACGCACCACAGTACAACCTTTGAAACATTCTTTAAAATATCAACTTTTTAGAGTTATATGTATCTAAAACAGATGTCAACTTTGCCTAATTTACTTAGTCTCTAATGAATGTTAAGGTTTGTTAAGATTTCTGTTTGCTTTTTAAGACTTAAAAACTTACCAACTCATTAAAAACCATAAATTTAGTTAAGTAAGTTAAGTAGCGTATGATCTCTAGTTTTTAGTTTACAGTCATTGTTATTTACCTAGTTAATTTCTGCTCATAATTATGTTCATTTTAACAGACTGTTGAGTTTATGTAGATGTCCACTTTTTCTTTTGTCCATTAATAACTTAACTATTATGAAACATGGGAAACATTAACTAGGTATGATAACTTTCTTCATATTTATTGACAGCTTCTTTTCGAAAATTCTCTTTTGTATAAATCGTAAAGTGAAATACATTTCTATGCAATAAATCAGTAAATGAGAAATATTTAACTTTGGTAGCTAATATGTTAAGAAATAAACATTCACATTAGAAATTTACATGAAAGCTAGAATGATCCAGTAGTGTATATCCACTACTCGCTAGACTAGAAATGTCATATAGTTAAACAATTTGATTAAGTAATGAAACCTGTGTTATTTATGATTGTCTGAATGTTCTTATTACATTATCTAATAAACCAATTATCGTTGTGGATAAAGTATTAAATGATAGTTTGTGGAACAAAAGCAATTTCTTATTGAACGAGACGATATAATAATTAATTTCTAAAAAAACTCCCTGAGGAATATGAAGTGTTTCAACAAACTTGTTGGATACAACTGCTTACAGTCGTATTAGCTAAATGATTTCCAATGTATCTCGATGCTTTCACTAGTTGAAATAAAAATGTGAAGTAATTCTTGTATTTTGAACTGGGAATCGATATACTACATACAGTGCAATTCAGAAGTCATCATCGCCATAGAATTGACTTAGCTATAGTGCATATATAAATTATATAACCGTTTACAAATCGTTCGTACTTGTTAAACAAGGTATACGTTAGTGTAATGAAACATTCGGTGATGAAATATAAAGAATCGTGAATGGATTAGCAACGACGTTTTCAAACTGTCATCCGGTAGCAATCACTTCAAACATTTCAATCATATGCAACTAGTTCCAACTTTGTTAGAAAATCAAACGAACATTGATTATCTTGGTTTGGAGGAACAAACTTTAAGTAGAAGTGAAGTGGAGGATACAATCGAAATAAAGAAGTACACAATGACGGGTTAAAAATCAACAATAACCAATGAAGACTGAGGTCTACAGGACAAGCTATCAGTCATATGTGAAGAAATCCAAACACTTCACTTCTACATGAAGTTTGTACTGATGATGTCGTTCAGAAGAAAGATGGAAGCCCCAAGACCAAACCATTCAGCTCAGAGAACAAAACTCCACCAAAATTATTTTGGTTTCCTTCCTTAAAAACAATTAAAATACTTTAATATCTTGTCACTTATATATGCTATTCTATGTGAGCTTTTAAAGAAAAACAGAAATACACTAAAATGTAACGAGAAACGGAAATGATCGAAATCAAGAATTTAGTCATTAATTATACAACGATATGAGGAAATGTTTCGTTTTAATGCATGAGTATATTTCGAAATGTGGCTTTGTTTGTAAAAGTAGCAAAATTACTAGTCAGTTTTACGAACTCATACTACTTATATTCCAAAGAAAAATGTTTTCATCAGTCTTTATAAAATATGTTGAGTATTTTAATGATGTGATCCAAGTTTTATCAGAGAATATTTATAACAAAACTATGATTTACATTGAAATCACAAACTGATCTAAAATAAGGAAGGAACGACCAAATATCTTAAAGAACTAAACGGCCCTTTCGTCCTAGTATGGGACCTATCACCTTTAAGCATCCAAAACCTGACAAACGGTAAAACGGATTTAATTAATTTCACTTTAGATGAATATTATGGTGCGAAATTCCATACCTATTTCTTTGACAGTGAATTATCCTTAATAGAATTTTCACTCACTTTAAACATATATATTAATCATATCAAATGATATTGTTAAGATTCACATAAGTAAGACGCGGTTATAACTCCATCTGTAACTTTTCTAGAACTACTGCTAGTCCCAAGCCTAGGTAAACGAGGAGGGTTGGACATAGGGTTAGCAACTCCATCCCATAGGAAGTAACCTTGTTATAAAAAAACGCTAACCATAATAAGCCAATTGAAGCTAGACCACCATGGAAAACCTGGAAGCACTGGACGGCCGTTTCGTCCTAGTATGGGACGAAACGGCCGTCCAGTGCTTCCAGGTTTTCCATGGTGGTCTAGCTTCAATTGACTCATGATTTCAACCATTGAAATTTCTAAAATCTCCACAAAACCCCTTCTGCTAACCATAATAAACAAATTAAGATATAGTTATACTTAATGAAATAACTAAAAATGTACTAAATGTATTGTAAATCATTTCGTACAATGTTTATATGCGATCTATATATATATATTTATATAACATATACTAGCGAAATTTATAATAAGCTTAATGATTCTGATTAGAAAAGAAGAAAGAAAAAAATAACATTTACACATAAGAGGATTATATGTGATGAACTCACAGATTTTATTGATTTTTGAGAAAATATTCTTGATTTATAAGATTGAACTTCTTGAACAGATTTTGAACTGTGTACATTACGAATAGTTGGATTAGTTTGTTTATAATGAACTGTATTATATGGATTACTTTCAATGAAATCATTCAGTGGATTAGGTTGTGGAACATTTAATGTTATAGAATTAGACGATATAGCTTGAAACTCTTCATCTATTCTAAAATTGTTCATAAATAGACTTGACAGATAAATTAATACTTATATTGAATATTAAAAAAAAAACAATCAAAAGGTGACCGTTTTACAGTAAATCGTTACAAAAGTATTTTAAGGTCATTATTGATTCAATGATAGAGATTACACTTTTGACTAAATGACAATCATATTTGAATTATATTAATTCTGATTATAAGGTGAATATCAAGTAGTGCTAAAAGTAATAATTAAGAACATAAAATACTTTAGATAATCTAGTCATTTGCTTCCAGTGAAGGGTAACTATGATGATTAGGAGTATTCGAATTATAATATGAACTAAGAATCCCAGAAATAATGTAATCGAATCAAGAAGTACTAGATAATCACAAACGTATGTACTGCATTTAAAATTCGAAATCAAGCATTCAACAAGTACAAAGTAATCATTAATTCATTCAAACACCACCGTAACCCTTTCCAAATAGGAAAACCTCAGTTAACTGATTTTGAAGTACAGTAAATTGGCTTTCATTTCATTATATATAGAACATTACTAAGGTTTTCATGATAAGTATTTAGGCATTTTAGATTGAGATCATGAACTGATGAATGTTAGAACAACACTGAAAACCTGGAAGTACTGGACGGCTTTTTATACCTCCCCAGCAGTGCGCACTCACGATACCGCCCACAGGATTTGAACCCAGAACCTTCAGTCTCGCGCGCAAACGCTTGACCTACTGGGCAACTGAGCCGGCCGGCATCCGATGGTGTTAATCTCTAACCTCAATCAATCAATGAAATTGCGCGACCGTCTCCCACCATCCCGCGAGCGGAATCGTAGAGTCTCGCAATAGGACGAGACGGCCGTCCAGTACTTTCAGGTTTTCAATGGTGGTCTAACATCGATCGGTTCATGATTTCAATCTAAAACCTAATAATTTCAACAACCCCTATACTGATATTTAGGCATTGGTAATGTGATGAAAGTAAATTCATTTTATAGGTCAGGTTATATATTTATAAAGCGTGCAATTTCCATATGGATGTTTGAGAATTACTTTGTATGGCCAACTGATGGGAACTTATATCACTTATTATCTCAATCCTTAAATACATGTTAAACTATGGTCACGTAACACTACAGAAATCATTGTCCATGGTTATCTCGAAAGTCCAAAGAAATGATTCAAAGAAAGTTTGAGTAGCACGTTTGTGCATGATTAAAAATATAGAAATTCACCAATCCATACCTAATTTCTTCTTATAAACTGCTGCGATTAATTAATTAACATAATCCACTTCTTATTTTACAAACTATTAATATTAATCACTATTTTCGCAAGATATGTAATCTTTTGTATCTCTCCTCTGTATGCTATTATCATTCGTATCACCTTTTGAATGTTATGTAATCTAAAATTATCCTTCGGGCTATCAACTGAACGTTAAAAGTCAATTTTATTGTGAACTACTATGTGTAAAGATAACTATAAACACAATCGTTTGGCTCTAGTAAATGACATAACTAAAAAGTATTTTCTTAGCTGTTGAAAGTTAATTTGATCTGGAACTAATATAGCTTAGGTTCTTCGCAAGTACCGGTTCACTGGTCACGGGAAATATTTCTGTCTGTTCTTAAGTTTTCTAAAATATCATTCAGTTACAGATATAAATACATAAGATTTCTGGATTCCACGATCTTTACCATTTTTGAAACGTTATTTAACTACTAACAAATATTAAGTAGTGCCAGTATTTATAAGCAAAGATAAACAGTGGTTAGCGATGGAATCCAGGATGCGCGTTTCGTTTTATTTAGGACTCCTGAGCTGGATGTACCTTCATCTCAGAGTTGATGTTAACCAAGCGAATTTGAGTGCCAGTATTTGTCGAAACAGTTGGAAACTTAAGGTTATTCACCTGTAGTGTTGGTTGCTATGCTAAGCCCACATATGTTATTGTAGCTTTCAGACGGACCAATTTATTCATTCTTCTTGAGTCACATTTTGACATTGTCAGTTATTCGCTTGACTGTTTTTATATGAGCCTATGTGTGTTCACTTCTTATTCTATTCATCACATATCTGTGACTTATTTGTGTCTGACTAAATATCGATTCACTCTTGCTTAAATCGAGTTGGCTCACTCGCCTTTTCCATTGAGCATCATTTTGTTTTGCTTTACTTTATAATCAACGCGTATACGAAATATACGTATTCAAACCTCTTCCTCGTGTTTGATTTATTTAACTCCGTTATTTACCAACTCTATTAAGGTCGATAATTATATACGATGATTGTCGACATTTATATTTCGACGGCAACCATTCGATAACTATCTTTCATACGATCTACCTGGAGTCAGATTTAGGTTCACTAAAGTGGTGAGCCCGTCAACATCATTGTCCGACTTGTTGGAAACAAGCTATCGGGCCACAAAAATTGTTATTTGCTCCAACTTGAACCTGTTTTGATTTGAATGATAATTATCAATATAACATGATGAAGTGAGATATGATTTACGTTTAAATAGGCATTAGGTGACTTTTTGACATCTCAAAATTATCAATGAACATCCGTCCATTTGTCGCTTTAACTTCAATTACTAGGACGGTTGTGTTTTGAGATGATGATAATGAAGATCTGTAGTTTGAGTGTGTAATTTTGGTAGAGCTTCGTTTTCTGAGCTGGACGGTTTAATTGTGAAGATTTAACTGTTCTTCTGAACAGTATCATAGCACAAACGTCAGACAGAAGTGAGGTATTTGAATTCATCCACGTAAGGCTGATGGCTTATCTTGTCAACCTTGATCATGATTGGTTGTTATTCATTCTTAACCTATTATTCTCTGCATATTTATTTTGACTGTCTCTTTTTTGACTGGGTTTTTAGGCTAATATTTGTCTATAGTTTTTCTAATTGACTGATAAATTGAATTGAATGACTGTTGATCGACCTGAGTACCAAGCTTGACTGGTGTTCTTGTTATTCTCTCTATTCAAAATCCATGTGATTACAACCACTCTGTCTGGCTTGATTGTCTATTCTTTCGTTAGAAGTATTCAGTACTCAAAATGAAGTTACACAATCACTATAGATGAACTTTTGTTAGCATCTTCTCACTGTTTTTATCATGTAATTCACATACAACTACATATATATCCGGATCACTAATGTTATAATATGTAAAGGTCTACACTACAATACGATGCTTTGACAATCTTGAAGTAAAATTGGTTAAATATGAAGGAGTTCATTTCTAGGGGATGAGGATGAATTGAAAAATATAGGCTGGTTCTTAATGAACTAATATGTATTCAAAATCACTGGTAATGGAAGTAGTATGTTATATAGAGGTATAATTGACTGGATTAAAAACAAATGCTTAATTCAAATTCTCTTGAGAAAAAAAACATATTAATTTCAATAGTTGAGATCATGAGTCAATTGAAGCTAGACAACCATGGAAAACCTGGAAGCATTAAACGGCCGTTTCTTTCTATTGTGGTACTCCTCAGCATTACTTCGATTTACATAAGGGTGAAATTTAAGATCCTTGTCATTTATGTAGTAAAGTAACTCAATAGTTAAGTCAGTCAGTCAGTCAGCTACAACGTAGTACCAGGCACATATATGCATCGGTCCAAGTTGCCATACCTCATTAACATAACAAGATGGACACTGGATTCATATGTGTACTTAATTCAGAGGCAATAATATATAAAAGATTGCATATAAGGATATAGTACAGGAAGAAAGAATTAGTTCGTAGAAAGAAAGATATGAAGCGATTTTAATCTCTTAGTTTGAGGGAAGATAAAGAGTGTATACACCGACGCCATTGTGATCGATTCTGAGTCATGTCACCAAGAGTCTCCAACCATTGGTTACGATGGTCACACGGACCCCAACCAAGTAGTCTGCATCTAGCAACATGGCTCAGACTAGAAGTTAGTGACTTCAAGCACTGATGCCACGTTTTGGTTTGGCCGCCCCTAACTTTCTTCCAACCATCTCCAATACCGGATAGCATTGCATGTCGTGGTAGTCGGTGTTCAGGCATACGTAACACGTGGCCCAACCATCTCAGTCGATGAAGATTCACAACCTCATCAACTGATTTACCATCATTCCCTAATACCCTGCGTCTAACCTCACTATTACTTACCCGGTGATCCCAGCAGACGCCAGCAATATTTCTAAGGCATCTGTGGTCAAATACTAATAGCTTTCGAGTGTCTTCTACTCTTAATGGCCATGTTTCGCTGCTGTAAATTAAAACAGAACGGATTAGCGCGCAGTATATTCGTCCTTTTATTGATAGACGGATATCTCGCCTTCGCCATAGGTGACGGGGATCCACTCTAACAGTGCTTGTTCCGCTCTCATGCTTAGTGCTATGCTCACACCTGCTGGTCCAAGAGAGCTGCCCGTCGGGTCACCAGATACATGGAGGGTGTATCTCATTGGCTCTCCGTTTTGCCGAGGTGAGGTCAAGTGAATGATCACACTGGGATCCTGTACGCGTGTTTCAGAGACACAGCATACATCAGTGGTACGAGATTCTAGGGTTCTGGCCAAAGAAGCCTGTTGACCGATTTGACATAGGGTGCGTGCGTTGAAGGCTCCAATGTGTAGTTTGGAGCGAGTTTTCAGTAGACCTAGGGCAGTGTTTTGCACACTAGAATCGTTCTCTGTGCTGACACTTGAGGGGGAGGCCGAAAGAGGAAGTTTATAGGTGAAAGTCGATGTAGGAGGAATAATAGGAAGTGAAGACGGAGGTTGATTATGAATACAGTGGTCTTGAGTGCTGTTAGAGGTATGAGGGCGGTTATCACTTCCCGGTTGCCCACACCGAGGAAGGGTTCTTCTGGAGGTACCTGAAAAGGAAATTGGATTAGAGGCGGTCTCAGTGACCTGAGAGCGTGACCACAGTGCCCAAGGGACAACTGCTTGAGGTCGGTCGCGCACGGCCTTTTCGTGGAAGGTTTTTGACGTGTTAGCTCCGTTCTTCAAAACGGCCTTACCGCCGGAGACGGAAATCCGTGAGTAAGGTGAGGTGTGCATTTTTACGGTCGATCTTTTCTAACCCCACCCCACCTTGTGGGAAGGAAGCATCGCTGTCATGCTGGTTGTCTGAAGGAAA